CCTTCTTCTTCTTTTAGCTACTTCTCCCACAGAATACATGCCACTTTCCTGACAGGATAGTTTTTTTGCAAGGCAAAGTGCATTCAGTTAATATTACCCATGTCATAGCCATTTTTGTGCCCAGGGCAATACTTTTATTCCATTCTCATTATTTTTCACAAGCACTCCGAACAGTATTTGTTCATGGTCCTATACAAATGCCCAAGTACTTTATGTACAGCATATAGTTATTTTGTTGTGTCATGTATTCTGAGGCAGAAAGACATTATATTCCAAATTTCTACAAGTTATTGACAATTGTATAGTGAGACTATATCTACCATTTCATGGCATTTTTTAAAAAGAAAGTCAAAAATGTAAACAAACATATATTAACAAAGTTGGAATCATCCCAACAGAATGTTTCATTTAAATTTGCTAATCAGTTTTCAAGATAAATATGAAACTGTGTAATGTTGTCCTAAGGTAGAGATGGCAAAATTATTCCTTAAATGAAGTCTAGCATTTTAAAAAAGACCATTTATCAGAATGTCTAGTCGAGGGACGCAGAATAGTCCTATTGTCTGGTTTCAGTTTTCTAAGTCCCCATTTTAATTTTAAATTATACTCCTGTTTCCTAAATAAACACTTTGTGTTTAGGATCTGGAGTACAGTATCATAATCACTTATTAATTAGGCTATTAAAATTGATATTAACTTAGAGGATTCTGGCAGCAGTAAACAGATTCAGTGGATTAAAAAAATTCTATGAGCATAGGGCATCAAGACTACAATGGGGAAACCTACAGAGACAATCAAACCAAAGTAGTGGGAACTCATGAACCATGGACCAAATAGCTGTGGAGCCTCCATGAGACTAGACTACGCCCTCTACATAGTGAGACAGTTATGTAACTTGATCTGTTTAAGAGGCCCCCTAGCAGTGGGATCTGTACCCATCCCTAGGGCATCATTTGGAGCCCACTACCTATGGTGGGACACCTTACACAGCCTTGGTGCAGAGGAAGGTGCTTGGATCTGCCTCAACTGACTGTAGCAAACTCTGCTACTCTCCACGGGAGACCTTGCCCTGAAAGAGATGGGAATGGGGGGTGGGATGGGGGAAAGGCTGGGGGTGGAAGGAGGGGGATCTTTGGTTGGTATGTAGAATGAATAGAAAATTTCTTAATAATAATAATATATATGTAAAAAGTGCATGAAGTTTGGAGTGAAAAGGGATAGAAATATGGAAAGAGTTGAAAGGAAGTGAGTGTGAGAATTTGATCAAAATATGCAACACACATACATGGACATACACAAAAATAATTCAGTTTCTTGGTGTCCTTTGCAACTTTTCAAGTACTCAAGTAACATATACTTAAAGGCTACCTTTTGCCTAACAAAGTCTGAGAACATTTATAACTGAAAAAAGTTTATAGGAAAGGGTTGCTTGAGAGTCAATATTGTTATACAGTTTACATTTAAAGTGTTAAAGTTCACATTTTTAAGGAGGCAAATATTTGAATATATCTCCAGAACATTTCATATATGCTTCTGTACTTTGTGATTTGTTCCTACATCAGCCCTTTAATAACTACCGAACCACCCATATACATGTTTTTTAAAGAGAAAAAAGACAGGAGGTAGGACATTTGTTAAAAAATGAATTTGTAAAAAAAAAGAAATATGCACAAAATTCTGATTAATATCTTTTCTGTATTTTTTCCAATTCACCAGAAAAGCAAACATCATTGTAGAGACCTAATCTAAAATAATTATCTTCAAATCTCCTAAACTGTTTTATATCACTACTTCAAATAAATCCTTCTTTTTAGAATTAATTACACACTCAAATATCTGCATTAATTTGAGTTCACTCAGGAAGTTTGGTGTCTTCAATTTCATTTTAAACATATGCATCTTATGAAAACAACAGGGTCAGTTGAGCAATTTCCCTATATTATACATCCCCTTGGTCAAATCTACACATTATAATGATCAGAAGGCAATTGTGTATGTTCTTCCAGTACTTTACAACAGTAGTCATTATGTCAATTGCAATTTGGTAGCACATAATCTGCAAAAACATAAATTTAAAAAATCTTTTATATCAATATGATATCTGCAAATATGTGCACCATCTGAATACCATTATGTACATTTTATTATTTTGCATACCAATACCTGAAATTTCAACTATTCTGCAAAGCTTCCTAGTAATTACAAAAAAATACCCTAAATTCTTTAGATGAACTGAAAATTTTTCACAAAACTACTTACATTTTTTATAAGAGTAAATGAATTCCATGTTTTCAAATAATTCAGACAAAAATATGTAGAACTAAAAGAACAGTGGCTAATGTTTAGTCCCACTTTGTGGATTGTGAAGATGATTATGGATCTAGCCTTAACTTGAAATCATCATGAAAAATTTTATCAATAATCCAAATACATTCAAAAAAGTTCTTAATAAAGCTTTTAGATGGGGAAATATTTGGAAGATATGGAAGGAGTTGGGGTCAGGTGATGTGGGTATATACTAACATATTTCATTATACAATGCATGAAATCCTCAAGAACATTGTTCTGAAAGACCCCCGCTCCATTATGAGGACATGGGGCTTTGGGCCAATGAAATGCTCCCCCCCCCCAATAACTTAGCCTAAGAAACGCCATTCTGAAGGAATCAAAAAAACAGGAGTTCACAGCCGTAGCCAGCCACCCGGCCTTGACAGAGATAACTATGGCCAGCCATCCAGCCTTGAGAGAGATAACTGTGGTCGGCGGCCTTGGGAGAAAAACAGTTGAGTCAAATCAGGATATTTTATGGCTGGCCCCCTGGCCTTGAGGAATAAGCAGCTGGCCTGGGCAAGGCCAAATCAGCCACACACATACGACCCCAAGTTCACCCTGGCCTTCTTTGAAACAACCAATAGGGACCCTGTAACTATGCTTCTCGCTTCTGTAACCGCGCCTCTGCCCCTGGGATCCCATAAAAAGTCCCCCTTGCCCTAGGAAAGGGCGCAAGTCCTCCAAGAGACTTCGCCCCAGGTACCTGGTCTAAATAAACCCTCTTGCTTTTGCATCTGATCTGTGGTTTCGGTGTGTTCCTTGGGTTTGGGGGTCTCTCCTGAAGGAAGATCTCCCCTGGGGGTTCTTTCAGTTCTCCTATTAGCCTCTCATAATTTTGACATTTTTTCAAGTGCTAAGTTTAGGCTTTTTGTCTGAAATGATGATTTAAATATTAATTGTCCCATTTAGTCATTCTTTTTTAGAGAATATTTTTTACTCGTTTTACATACCAAAGATCCCCCTCTCTCCTCTTCACTTAAAATTGTGTTTAGGTGAAGTTTATGACAGAGCCATGACTAGACAGATTCAAAGTCAGATACCAAATAGTCTGTTGATTTGTAAATAGTATAGCTGATCTCCTTGTCTGTGGCCTATATTAGTTAATATAGACAAAAAAGTTTGGAAAGGGATATATATGGTGACATTTTATTTGTGCTGAAATGTGATTTTATTTGAATGTTAATAAACAAAGTTGCCTGGGGATCAGAGCTGAGAACAAGCCATTTAGCAGAAGTCCCAGCAGTGGTGGCACACACAAATAAACCAATCACATGGCAGGCAGAGTCTCTGTGTGTTCAAGGATACAGCCAAGCAGTGACCTGAACATTTAATCTCAGTAAGAACCATAGAGACCTGGAGGTCTGTACAAACAGGCAGTGATGAGAAAGTCATGTGGTTGGGTTTAGAACCAATGAGAAAGCAGAACAGAAAGGCAATAAAAAGACAGGACACAGGAAGAGGGTCAGTCTGTGAGGGGAAGGACAGCAGCGAGTGGTAAGATAAGGTGGTCTTAGCTCTTGGCTACTGCTCTGATCTCTGTACTTTTAACTCTATATTTGGCTCTGTGTTTCTTACATAAGACCATTTAGAATTCCATCTACATTTGGCTCCCAATGTAGCAGAATTACATCTACAAATATATACACAGAGCATGTTTAAAAAAAAAAAGGTGTGATTGAAAAATGTATAGTAGTGAATTTTCTCTAGTTTACTTTGCATAAATATTGAAAAGTTAATATGAAAAATTACTCATACGTTCAAAAAGGTCTTATACTCTATAGGGGAAATAATATCTTTAACACAATGTTTTTTTAAAACGTACCTTAATTAGTTGGTAGTTTTGGACTCCATTTATTCCGATGTCAGGATCAATGGCTGCTGGAAGAGAATATCGAGAGTTTATAGCCGAGTTCTCTGGAATTGATATGTTGATGACAGTTGTCGGGAATAACGGTGAATTATCATTTATATCTTCTATCAGAAAGCGTATCTTGACCAATCTAAAAATTTCATCCGGCAAAACGGCGACTTCCACTTCGTAAAAGCAACGGGCATCCAACAAGATTCCAGCACATAATTTCTCACGATCAATGCGAGCGCCAGTAGTGAAGATCTCACCGGTACCCTCTTCAATCCGAATCAAAGGTACATCCCCGGTTTTGTAAACCAATTTGAACTGCATAGGAGTGGTTAAGGACTTGTCGGGAATAAGCGACAAGTTGAGGTCTTTCAACAAATCGCCTATCAGGACGTTCTCTGGCATTTCTTCTCGGACCGTGTAATTCTTCTCCTGGGCGCCAGACTGAAACACGACGCATGCTAACAGGACCGCAAATATATACGTCCCGGACAACAAGTCCATACCAGTCTCGATACCACAGGTACTGTTTGTCAGCCCACGATATACTGACAATGAAAACACAGGGGAGGATAGAGGGAGGGAGAAGGAGAGACAAAAAAGGAGAGAAAAAGAAATTATTAGAAATCCAACCATAAATGTTCATGTTAACTAAATGTTTTAAGTTTAAATCATTAAATGAAATATTAACACTAGTGATACTTGAATGGCAAATTTGTTTTGAATCAACTATTATGCATTTCTATAGTAAGAAGATAAATATAAAATTACCTATGATTGTTAAGAGATGGGCTATTAAGAGCAACGTCCACTATTGAAGATGTGTATATATTTTATTATATTAAGATATTTAAAGAATATACAAATAATTTAATATTTAATTCAATAGTTAAGGAAAAATAAGAGGGCATTTGTTAGAATCACAAAAATATCGTTATTTTTACTCTGATTTCAAACAATTATTTTACTGTCAATAAGCATTTGATATAGTATTCCATATTTTCAGTTCCATTCATAAAAATGTACAATTGTCCAGATGAAAGTAGGCAAAATATATTGACACATGAAGGACTTGCTCAAGTCTGAATTCAAAACAAAAATCTTCTAAGATAGAAAATGGGTTATGTGAAAAATATCTAAATATAGGGGAGAAATTATGACATGTAAAGAGGATTTGATTCTTTTTTGGGTGAAGAAGCCAATAAATATAAATTACAGATATGAAATTTTCATATTGCTATAAATATATTTGTTCATTTAGAAATTTATGAAAAAAAATTTTTTTGTTTCTTGTTTTTATTTCAGGGAACAGTGAAACTCATACCTTTGAGGATACTGATAGAATATAAGAATAAGACAAAAAAACTTATGAATGTATATTATGATTAGAATTATAGGCCTGCTAAATAGCATGTAAACTTAATAGGAGATATGAGTTTAATATGTTCTAAATTTGAGAATTCAATTTGTGCATTGGAAAATGAAAACTGATGCTATAAAATGGCATAAGAATAGACAAACTAAAGTATAGCTAGACAAGTTTTGAAAATAAAGTACTTTTTATATAAAAATAGCAGAATGTAGTGTTATTGTTTATTTAAACCACATTTAAACCACAAAAATTATCAGGAGATAGTTATAGTAATCACAGTTTGATCAAATATTCCTTTGATAATATCTAGCTCATCACTCCATTCCATAAAACAAATGTTACATATGGATGAAGGGGGTCGACTGAAATAGAAGAATCAAACAGAGATGGAGAGGTAAAACAGGAACAGGAAGGGAATACAGGGAGGAAAAAGTAAAATTAGGGCCATTTGAGAAATCATTCACAAACCTAAAATAGTAGAAGCTTCCTAAAATATACACAGATACAAAGGTGATGTAAATGAAATTGCTAAATAAGAAGGCAGACTGTGCCCTGACTGAACACTGCTCATCACGAAATGAAGCTTCTAGTACTTGGCATGGGTAACACAAAATTAAGTTGTTGGCCTAAATCTTACCCTGGGAAACTCCAAACAATGAAGACTATTGCAAAGGCCGTAAGTTGTCCTCTACAAACTTATGACAAGACTCTATGCTAAGGGCAAAACCTACACAAATCATTGAATACAGAGAAGTTGATCTGGTACCTACCTAGAACCTTCACCCCTAGGGAGAGACAGAAACAGAGGCAGAGACTTTGGAACATTCAGTCCTAAATGGGATATCTCTATCAAATTCCTCCCCTCAGAGCTCAGGGAATCCCTCAGAAATGGAGGCAGAAAGAGTATAAGAGCCAGAGGGAATGGAGAACACCAAGAAAATAAAACCCTCTAAATTAACATAATCAAAGAACGTAGGAGCTCACAGATACTGAGGTAGCATGTACGGGGCCTGCACAGGTCTGCCTCAGGTCCTCTGAATATACTAATGTCTTCCAGTTTAGTGTTTCTATGGGATGTCTGAGTTTGCAAACTAGTGGGTCTCTGTTTCTTGTGTCCTCATTTGGTTTCTTTTCCTTCTGTTGGTTTGTTTCATCAAATTCAGGTGTGCTGTTTTTATGTTGTTTTATTATTTTTTTTAAAAAGATTGAAACTAGAGAGATGTTTTAGAGGTTAGGATCACTTAACCTCTTGTTGTTCTTGCAGAGTAGCTGGGTTTTGATCTTAGCATCCACACAGCAGCTCACAACTATGTATAACTCCAGTTCCAAGGGATCTAAAACAGACTTCTGGGTTTTGCAGGCACTACATTCACCTAGTGCAGACAAAACATCCATACACATAAAATGAAGAGAAACAAATCTTCCAAAAAAGTGAATCCCAGAAATTTCTTCTTGCTTTTATTTATCCTTGCAGAAAATCATGAAACCTATTATAATTCTCTGATATTTAGTATTTATTTGTATTACTTTTGTCTGTGTGTGTGTGTGTGTGTGTGTGTGTGTGTGTGTGTGTTTATTTGCATGTGAGTGTAGATGTATTCAAAAGTCAGAGACATTAGATCCTCCTAGTGTTGGAATTAGATGTGATTGTGAACTGTTCAATACGGGTGATGGGAATCAAAGGTGAGTCTTCTAGAAGAGCATCAAGGCAAACATCCATGGTTTTTTATGCATCTCCTCAGTCCCTATTTCTCTAATTCTTTGTTAAAATTCAACAATTAATTTAGATTTCTATTTTTTTTTTGTTGTTTTTCACCAAGTCCTTGCTTTCTATTGTCAATCTGACTTGCTTGGTATAATCTTGATGTTACATATTAAGTAACATTTAATATCAAGATTATGAAAATATCTGTGTGTAATATTATGTAATAAAATAGGAAATATTTATACCAGTGCACTAAACACCATTAAATGTTACACCCTTGAAAGTAAATATGAGTAAATGCTGCTGTTGAGGCATGTGTCAGTTTTAAAAGATCAGTGGACAGATACACTTAAAATTCCATTATAGGAAATACTGATGCAGGCAGGAATCTAATACTGTTCTCAATATTTATTAGGGATTAGCAACATTAACGATGTTTCAGCAATGATTCTAAACACAGGAAGACATGATATAAATAGCTTTTTGTGTGAATAGAACAGCCAGAAAATGTGCTATTACCCTTTCCCGCTACATAGTTAGACATCTGCATTTAAAATATATAACCATATGCAAATGGTGAATGACATGAACTGAGAAAAATGAATCTTTTCCATTTTCAGTCAGTAATAGAACATTCAAATACCCTGTAACAAGTGCAATAGTTAACTTCAACTACGTGTGATTTAAAGAAATAATTTTTATAAGTTATAATCATAGAACCTCTGAAATATACATTATATATCTAACAATTTTTGTTTATTTAGATGTTGGTATCATTTATTAATCACCGATATATAACAATGAGGAAAATGAATACAGAAGGTATGCTCTATCTTAGTAACAACAGTAAAAGTCTATGGTCTGCAGTCTTCTATTTTTAGAATCATTTAGTCAATGATGAGCACTGGAATTATACAATATAGATTTTATCTTTGAATTACTGATTTTTTACTTTTTTCAGAATGTGTGATTAAAAACACTATGTTGATACCATGAGCTTACGGGTCCACATATATGTATTCTCTAACCACTGAATCTAGGACACTTAAAAGTGTATGAGTGATTTTATAAATATTATGCAAACATAAGCACAATAAAAATGGGGCAGTGGCAGATGGAATTAACAGTACCACTCTATTCTTATCCTACCCCTAGGTATTACACATTATTACAATTGGCAGAAGAATGATACAGACTGTTTTTCAAAGCATTGCATACATGTTGTACTATCTCTACACAAGAAAAAATAATTAAGATAACGACCTAATTCCATGAACTTCTAATTTCCCAATCCAGTCTAAATCTGTTTCACATGACCTGTAATAACATTGTCAAACTAAACATTTTAAAATGAGTTTGGGTATTTGAAATTCTTTCATGGGTTTTAAAACCTAGAAAGAAGTATATGAAAAAAAGACAATAATAATTTCTAAGCCTAAAGTGGATGTACATAATGAAAATGTCATTATGAAAGCCATTATTGTGTAATTACATTTAATTAATATATGCTAATAAAATATAAGCCAATGCAGCCAATATAAGCTTCTGTATCTTAATGAAACCTACATCTTATGACTCTAATATATTCTAGTTGAAATAAGCCTTCTGAATTTCTAGTAAAGAAAAAACAGAAAACCTAAAAAAGTTATTTACTCTCTAGTTAGGAATTAATAACATGAATTTGTAAGATTTTTTTCTCTAATTCAATAACTATTAAACAAACTTTCTATGCTAAGCACAGTTATGGGTATTGAGAAGCCATATGTGAATGAAACAGACAAGAATCCCACTTTCCTACAGTTTATTTTTAATAATATTAACCTACTAATATCTTTACTTCAGTCTTCAATTTCTGTATACTGGACTCAAAACTTACTCTACAAGGTTGTAGATACTCATGTTTAAATAACCTCAGTCTCAAATTTTTCATGCTTCCATTTACATTTAATTGAAATTTTTACTGTCAACTTAAACATCTTCCTTGAAAAGGTTGAGTTAATAATTCATGAAATGACCACTACTGAAACATTGTGGATAAACATACATATCAGGAGTCAGACATGGCCCACTTTTAGGAAAGTTTGATACATTTAAAGCAGATACTCAGGAAATATTTGCTTACACATATGCCTGTAGTTTTCTCTCTTCAAGAAAACATATCCGTAGATTTCGTTTTTATTCCCTTTCAAACTTTTCATGCCACAGACTAAAGCTAATTTTGGAAATTAATATGGTAAGCAGAATGAAATCAGGAAGAGGATTTCAAATTTCTCCCTGGCACAGTAGTACCTGTGCTGTTTATATATTGTCACTTTCACATGCTACACTGTGGTTGTACTGGCAATGTTGTGCATAGACAAGAAAACAAAAGCAAAATTAAATAAGCACTTCCAAAAATGTAAAAAAGAAATGCAAAATGCAAAATTGAATATTCATTTTAAGGTCTCTGAAATTTGGGTCCAAAAAGAAAG